AGTCCCACAGAGACCAACAACAACCAATCTTTGTACACGGCTGCAATCGGATTGATTGTCATTGGGATAATACTAGTGATCATCGCGCTTTTGGTCTGTGTCCTCCTTCATACAAGGAGACGGAAATCATTGTCGGCTTATCCATCCGCTGGACAGGACAGGACAGAGAAATACATTTACGATCAATCCGCAGACATGGAGAAATTCGCAGAATCTGTTACCAGCTACACTAGTAAGAAAGGAGCAGTACCGGATCAGGGCAAACTCATGTTTGTGCAAGATGACATTCAAAGATTCGACCTTCAAGATCTTCTAAGAGCTTCTGCTGAAGTTCTTGGGAGTGGAAGCTTTGGTGCTTCTTATAAGGCCGGTATCAATAGCGGACAGACGCTAGTCGTGAAGCGGTATAAACACATGAACAATGTCGGAAGAGAGGAATTTCACGAGCATATGAGACGGTTAGGGAGACTGAGCCATCCGAATCTGTTGCCTCTTGTGGCTTACTATTACCGTAAAGAAGAAAAGCTCTTGATCGCTGAGTTCATGCCAAATCGTAGCTTGGCAAGCCATCTTCACGGTATGCAAAAGATCAATCTTTTTGTCGATAAAAATTCTTACTTTACGAGTTTTGACACGAAAAATGCTCTGTTTCAGCGAATCATTCCGCGGATCAACCTGGATTGGATTGGCCAACAAGGCTAAAGATTATACAAGGAGTGGCTAAGGGTTTAGGTTACTTGTTCAGCGAGCTACCAACACTCACGATCCCTCACGGTCATCTCAAGTCATCGAATGTCGTACTTGACGAATCATTCGAGCCTCTCTTAACGGATTACGCGCTAAGACCCGTGATGAACTCAGAGCACTCTCATAACCTAATGATCGCTTATAAATCGCCAGAGTATAGCTCAAAGGGACATATAACGAAGAAGACCGATGTTTGGTGCCTCGGGGTATTGATCTTGGAGCTTTTGACGGGTAGGTTTCCAGAGAATTATCTAAGACAAGGATACGATGCAAACATGAGCCTTGTGACTTGGGTGAGTAACATGGTTAAGGAGAAGAAAACAGGTGACGTGTTTGACAAGGAAATGACTGGGAAGAAGAACTGTAAAGCAGAGATGCTAAGCTTGTTGAAAATCGGTTTAAGTTGTTGC